AGGACAGGACTCGCTGCATGAGGAAACCTGCCTCGGGAGTCACACCCCCACTGGTCCTGCAGCTCAGCTCTCTAGGGACTCCAGTCAACCCTGTTAGAAGCCAGTGGCCTCTCCTTTCATCAGATGCCCAGTGGGCGAGGGGACAGTGGTGATGCAATGAGGTGGTGGCCTTTACAGTTGCCTGTAGGCAACCAAGCTGTGAGCCACAGTCAGCGGGGAAATCTTCAGAGTCTGAGGGTGCAGCTGTGTGACTCCCAGCTCCATCACTGACTTGTCACCTGTCCCTTTCCTCACCCTTAAAATGAAGTAAGAATGACAGCTACCATTTGGAGGCTCCTTACCATGTGCCAGGCACCTCATGCGCACGTCATTCTCACAACAGCCCTGTGAGAATGTGTATGATGCCCATGATAAGTGTGAGAAAACGGAGGGGAAATGGCTTATCCAAGGTCACATGGGCATCAAGTGTCAGAGCTGGGCCTGGAACCCAGGCCTGTGCCATACAGTCTGCCTCCCAGGGGAAGGTGGGAGCGCAGAGGGGCCACGCTGCAAGGTGAGGTCACTACAGTCCACAGTGAGGAGGGTCCCAGAGCAAAGGCCTCCACGTGCATGGTATTTATTAATGGTGGAAACTTAAGTTAGGGCACTGGCCCCAGCCAGGTGGACCCACTGTGCCAAGGGCTACCAGGCAGATGCCTCTATAAACACTCCTGAGATCCAGAGCCAAAGGCCCTGCTGCTGTGGCCGCTAAAAATAGATGGGCTGTCAGGTCCAGCTCCCTGATGGCAGGGGCAAGCTGCTCCCTGCACCCAGCCTCCCCTCTCCCCGTCTCCCCTCCCCATGAGCAAGAGCCAGGCTGCTGGAAGGAACAGAGATGTTAAGACGTTCACTTCAGCCCAGAGAGAACTGTTAGGTTGACGCCAGTGGGCATGTTCCAGGTTCTGGTGGGGCCATAATGGGGTGGGGAGGTCCTGACCCCAACATCTCACCCATGTTCCTCTTCAGAGGGAGCCGTCGACCTCCAAAACCCACCTGGGGAAGGAGTGGGGCCAAGGCCAAAACTTGGCCAACTTCTCCATCCCTTGCAATTCAGTCTGAGCCCCTTGCTGTTTTTGCTTTTCCTGAACTGCCTCTCCCTGTTGACAGCGCTGAGCGATTTCTGTATTTGCCGTGGCCTTCTCAGGAGGTCCGCTTCGGGCCTCTCGGGAAGCCCCGCGGAGACGGCGGGGATGAGGCAGCGCCCGGCAGCCCTGCAGCCGGGACGAGCGCTTCAAGCGCACAGGGTAGGAGGCCAGGGGCGCGGGCAGGAGGCTCTGGAGCGGGCGGCCCCTGCCGGCTGCGACCTGGGTGCAGTTCGGGCTCGGCCCGGGGATTTCCTTTCAAAGGTGACTTAGAGCCGCTTCATTAGGGTAGCGCCCTCCCAGGCGGGCTCTAATGGCGTGTTTGGCAGAGTCAGCGAAACGCGGCGCCCAGCGGCCCGGCGGCGGGGGAGCGCCCTCTCCCGCGCCCTCGCCGTCTCCCGCGCCGGCCAGCGGCGCGCACGGGGCCATTTGCAGCGCAGCAGCCTCACGAGCGGCAGCGGCGCGCCGGCGCGGAGCGAGGCGGCACCATGGAGCTGAAGAAGGACAGCAACTCCGTGTCCATCGACATGCTGCTGATCGTGCACTCGGAGAAGCGGCGGGCCGCGCAGGGCGCGCACTCGGACCGGCAGGCGGACCCGGGCGCGCTGCTCCAGCGCAGAGGAGGTAAAGCGCGCCCGGCATGGGCCCCTGGACCCCCGGGCACCTCGGCCTCCTCGCCCCAGGGCCTGCCCGCCGGGGGGCGCCCCACGCGCCCCCGAACGAGGTCAGCGAGACCGACCCTCTCCCCATGGCTGCCTGCGCCTCCGCGCTGTGGCTCTGGCGTCCCGTGGCAACGCGCAGCCGCGTGATTGCCCCGGGTTGACTCCCTGTGCAGGCCTGTGGGTGCTTCTGTCACCCCGGGCAGCCAGTTTCCTTCCAGACTCTGAAGGGTGCAGATCAGGGTTGGAAGACGCCCTAGAGAAAGGGGGCCAGAGCCTCAGGACTGACCCCTGGGTGGCCGAGTCCTGCTCCCCACACGGCACAGTGCAGGGCACAGGGGACCCAGGGGAATCTGTGTGCTGAGTTGGACTTCGAAATGGGGAGCTCCCTTAGTGTCCTTGCACAACTCAGCCTCAGTTTCCCCTTTCTTGAGCCCTCTCCCAGCCTCCTCCTATAGAAGGCGTAAAAGATGTAAAAGGCACACAGCCTTGGACAGGGGTAAGCTTGAAATCTGCTCTCCCCACCTTATCTAGTCATTTTACCTGTCCTACAGACTTTCTGGGGAAGGGGAGACTATATATATACAGTGACCATTTATGGAGCGATGGTGGAAAGTAGGACCCAGGCATCTGTATTCTCCAGAGGAGAGGACATGTGAAGAGAGTACAGATGGATGATAGCAGAGGTTAAATAAGCCCCCTCAAACGTCTGCGAACCTCCTGGGTCTATGAAGAAGCTCTCGGGAACCCAGGCCAAGCCTGGTGTGCCTATGCATCAGGCTGACGTGCACCAGTTCTTTGGGAGTGATGCTTGACAGCCCACACACTTCTGCCTCCCTCCTCCCCTCCAGCTGCAGAGCTCCTTGGAGTCTGCTCCAGGCTCCTCTTTCCCCAGAGCCCCTGTGCACACTGAACATCTACCTTCCACCTGCCCCACTGGAGCAATGGTGCCAGGAATGGCTTTGCCCCCATGAACCACACAGGCTGGAGCTGCCACATAGCTCCTGGTGACCTCTGGGGAGTCAGGCAGGAGAAAGAATAGATTCTGGAGAGCTGAGCACATTGACAGGCACTCCAGTCTCAGGAGGGATTTGAGGGCCAGGTGTTGTTTAGGTTAGTTGGTTCTGTAGTTCTCAGAAGTGCTCCTGGAGAAGGGAAAATGGCCTGCCCAGGGTATTTAATAAGGAAATTGGCAGAGGCCATTGGCTCCTTGATAGAAATGAGGCTGCTCCTGCTACACGCACGCTGTCCAGATGGCCTCCCCAGTGTGTGGCAAGGCCAGAGGGCCCCCATGAGGCCCAGCTCTGGGTCAGCCCACGAGCCCCACCTCCCTCTCCGCCTCTGACCACGTCTCTCTGAACGGCTCTAACACTAGAAAGGGAGGGCGAAGAACACAGAGAAGCCCCAGAAATGCCAGGGATCAGGACGGCTCCGAGAAGTATCCAACGCCTAGCACAAAACCTTCATGGCTCCAGACCAACGCACTTCACACTCATGACCGTGACTCAGGGAAAGAAGACCCCTGCTTGCTGAGCCTTTTCTGCTGATATTTTTCTCCACATATTTTCCTGACGGACATTTCTCCTAAACACTACGTCACTGGGGAGACCTGTGTCACTTATTCACAGACAGTTCTGCGCTGGAGCAGAGAAGAGGGACAGTGCGTGGCCTCCAGGGCTGTCTGGGTAGTGGTGATGTCCAGGAGACCCCTGGCTATGCCAGCTTGCAGGCCCACTCCTTGGGACATGACCGGAGGAGGGGAAACACTGAACAAAACTAGCTTGTTCCAAGGCCTTCTGTTGACTGATGGTGCACAAATCCAAAACTCACCCACACCCACCTCCAGGCGTCTCCTCCTGTCTCCTCCCCGCCCCAGGTCCTCGGCTGGGGAGTGAATCTTCCTTGCTTCTGCAAAGAAGGGCCTGAGCTCCACATCAGAAAAGAGTGAAGCTCAGATACTGTCACTATACAGAGGACTGAGTGAAGATGTGGCCAAGTGGCTCTTCTGCTGTGTCCTTGTGGCAGAGAAGAGTCAGAGGAACAAGGAGGCAAGGAGTGTGTGCACAGGCATGTGGGCTGCAAGGCCAGCAGGTGCCCTCTCCCCTTTCCTCTGGGGCCCTAGCATTTTCCTAGCCAGTCCCTTAGAGCAGAACTTTTCAAAAACGGGCCTGGAAGCCCTCAACTCCTGTCGCGTATTTCCCTGGCCATGGAGGAGGTAGCCTAAGCTGCCTGCACCGAGTCTGAAAGAGCTTCGAGGTATTAAGTTTTATCCCCGAAGTCGATGTGACATGTGCATTCCACTCCATCAGTGTGTCAGTGAGGGTTTCGAGTGGGAAGCCCCAGACACTGACTGTGGAGGACTCTGCAGAAAAGAAGGGTGTCAGAAAGCGACAGAGGCCTCTGAGTGGCTAAAAGGGCTGGAGAACCAGGCTTGAGGCTGAGCTTCTAGGAGCAGTGCCATTGGTTGCACAGCAGAGCTCGTCTGGTGAGGAAACCTTCACTGCCACCAAGGAGCACTAGATGCTCCTTCCATGCCAGGAACTTGATTTTATTGCAGCTGCTCACGCTGCCAGAATGTATGCCAGTTCTGGGCTGGGAACTCGACCTTGCAGCCACCACTTCCAGCCGCCACCAGGGAGAGAGAGAGAGCTTCCATCCCCTTCACTGTGGCATCACCAGGTCCCAAGACAGAGTTGGATACGGGTGCTTCTGATTGGCCATGCATGGGCCACACATGTCCATGCTCTAGCTGCAAGGGAGGCTGGGATAGGGGGTAGCTATCACTTTCAGTTCCCATTCGGATAGGCAGTCTTTGCCCACCCCCACCCCACATCAAGAATCTTAAAAGTGGAAGATTCCCCACATACAGAAATAGGCAGGCAAAATGAATGGCAAGTGTCTTCTACAATAATACTTCCACGTTTATGCAGTGGAGATGTGAGAGTGAAAAATGGTACCTGTATTGTGGAAAATCTCCCTGGATGATCCTAATAACCGACCCCACCACCCTTGAAAACTACTGATTTAGTATTTTTTAAAAACGTTTTAAATGTTAAGGGTTCATTACCCCAACTGCATCTCATTCTCAGGCAGCCTCCCTCGGATCCAGAGAGAGCCAGGCTCCACCAGCCTCCCTTTAACCCTTTGCCACCAGGTCTTCATTCCCTTGGCCTGAGTCTCTTCTCCACAGAGACTCACGCCAGTCCTTGTTGTTTCTCAGGGCTCCAGGGCATTGGAAACGGACTCCGGAGATGGCAGAAATTAGAAGGGAACGAGCTGCATGGTAAATTCTCTCTTTTCATTTCATTTTCCTTTCAATCTCTGGAATTCAGCTCATTGGAGGAGGACTGGAAGGATTGGGTCACGTGTTTGAAGACTGGCTCTAGACATCTAACCACCCAGAAAGTGGCTGCTTGTGACTCATCCAGGCCTCTGGGGCCACTGTGACCCTGGAAAGTCTTCCCTGGCATCAGGTCCTTGAGGCTGTTGCTGGGGGAGCAATGCCGGAAGCTTGAGCACCCAACTGTTTGCTGGCTGAGCTGTAGGGAAGGACTTGCGTCATTTGGGTGGGTGAGATTTGGGTGTGTTCCTGCGGGAGGCGGGGCTGCTCACACTATGCGGGCATCCATCTTTTGAAAATTTTTCCCAGCAGAGAGGACAGCAGCCTGCCTGGGGACGGTATTACTCGAGGCCTGGGGAGATGCCAGTCAAGGGTTCTGTAGCTCCCTGCTGGCCCAGGATGGAGAATACAATAAGATCTGAGAGAAGTCAGCTTCCAAAGCCTCCTCTCACTAGTGCCAGGTGTCTTTTGCCCTGCAGGCTGAGAGCTCTCTGGGCACGCTATGTGTGGACTGACCGTGCTGGCCCTTATTCTGTGCCCACCAGAGAGTCTCTAGCTCAGCCTCCAGGAGCAAACGTCAGTGACACCGCACCATGGGCCCATGAGGGTTCTAATAAGAATCAGATCTGCAATCCCAGGGCCCAGTAGGGGGCTCAGTCACACCCCAGATCAGCGGACTGATTCACTTCATGCCAGGGTGAAGGAACCACCTCTAAGACCTCCCACAGAAGGGGAAACAGGACCACAACTGAACAAGCTCGGCCATCCTTCTGACAGTAACAAACGGGAAGGATGACGTTCCAAAGTACCTTCATTCATTCATCCCCTCAATAAAGGTCTACAGTGCTTACTCTGTGCTGGGCAAGATTCTGATTGTTGGGGATGAAACAGTGACAAGACAGTCAGGAATCCCTGCCCTCAGGGGGGTGGCCATTCACTACAGTCGAGTCTTGACACCCTGAAAGTGAAGAGCTTGCCAAGGTGTGTCCTTTGCCTTGTGCATGGGGACCAGTCATCCTCAAGACACCCCCCTGAGGACCACCCCTCTGAGTCCCAGCTGACGGGCATCCATGGGCAGAACAGCTTCCTTAACCTTGCTGTCAGGGCCCTCAGATAGTAGATGCACCAGCCCTGGCCGCAGTCAGCAAAGCTCTGCTGTGGGCTGGTGAGAATTATACTAAGAATCAGGCCTCCAGAGACGAATCAGCCACAGAGATGCACAGCAGCCCATGCAGGCAGGCGTGCTGGGCCAGGGTGCGAGTGGGTGAGTGGGGGAGCAGGCCGAAATGGGAGGAGAGAGACGCAGCATCTTCATTGGTGGCGGCTCTCCTTCCTGCCTGAGTTGTCTGACATCCATCTTGTGGCTTCTTAGGCATGTTATTACATCAGAAGAGGATAGAAACACACTGAGTTCATCCTATTTTTGCCATCTTTAAGGTTCTGGTTTGGGGGAAAGTTAGAAAAATACAACAAAACACAAAGGGACAGGGTAACTATTACAGGACACACAAGACTATTCTAGAAGACATGAAGTGAGTCTTAGTGCAATGTGCAGCCGATAAAGAGGGTGATTAAAGTAGTTCTTGCAAAACTACCTGAGAACAGAGAGTTTCGGGTAAATGCAGGGCTGGAGAGGGGCTCTACAGAGACTGTGAGCCTGGAAAAGTTGATGGGTCCACCACTCCACCCATAGATGTAATTTAAAGTAAAATTTTATTCATTTTTCGAATGGCATGTTTGCATGCACGCAGAAATTAAGATTACAGCTTCTCTTTGTGTTTTCTGATGGCGGGATTCTGGGTACATGCTCGCCTTGCTGGTGCCCAAGGCCCCCAGCCCTGGTTACCTGCAGGCAGCCCGGCCCTGGAAACTGGATGGCTCTCATCTGACAAGGAAGCAGCTGACGGCTTGTGCTGGTGGAGTGTGCACAAATGTGGCTGAATGTGGGGTTGATCCAAAAGGGCACATGTCCCCCCTCTTGCTGCCTATGCACTCCTTGGTCCTGGGCGTTGGCAGGGAGGGGGAGCCTGGAGTGCTCCAGACTTTTCCAAGCAGCAGGTGTTTGGGCCGAGCAACCCCAACTAGCTTGCCCAGCAACAGGCCTTCCCTGCTGTGATTGGCTGCTTTCCTTGGTCCTGGCTGAAGTCTGCCTAGCAGCAAAGGGAGTGACACCCTACAGCTACAGGGAAACCAATTGTGCAGCCCTGACTATAAATACCCCAGAGCAGCTACGCCAGCCAATCACCCTCCTTGAGGATTCCCTTCCCAGATCCTGTTTCCTCCCTCGGCCAGTGGAGCAGAGTTGCAGCCAGCTGTGCCCGCAGGAGGTGGCCTCCCTGTCCTCGCCTGAGTCTGGCCTGGAGCTCCAACCCAGCATACCACATCACCCTGGGTTGGCGCACGCAGTGGACCTGGCCCTCAGCCGACTGACCAACATGCCCTGGGGGGCTGAGGGGCCTGGCTGGGCCTGCTTGTAGGAGAAGGCTGGAGCAGGCAGGCTTCTCCAGGGCAGGACCCTGCCAGGTGGATCCTAAGTCCAGCCCACTGGGAACTGAGTGGGAAGCACTGAGTGGCAGATCTGGTCGGGTATACAGGGCATGTCATCTGAATGGAGCCTGGTTAGGCCAGCACCCCAGAGGCGTGCTTGTTTCCAGGCTCAGGCACAGGTCCCAGTGGTCAATTCCAGTGGCAGCCTTTCTGCAGACCAGCAGGTGGCCAGGGGAGAATATGGCAGGCCAGGGTGATAGTGGCGTGGGAACCTCCTGCTGCCATGACCCTGGCCCTTCCCCAGCCCCTCCCCGAGCCCCTCTGAAGCAGAGGCTCGAGGGCAGTCTCAGCGAGGGCAGGCTACTGCAGTAGCTGTGAAGGGAGAGATGCAGGAAAGGTGGTGCCTCCTGTAGGAGGGGCAGGTAAGCCTGCAGGTTCCCCTTCATGCCCATCGCAGGAACTGGGCATCTCTCCACAGCAGCCTGCCTGCACTAGGCTCTGAGGACAGCTCTGTGTCCTGGGGACATACCTATCGCTAGTGTGCAGAGAGAGCTTTCGCATGGGGCTGCCATGCAAATGTTTGTCAAGCTGAACCAGGAAGGCTACCCGCTCAATCTTCTCAGGGGGAGGCAGCAGGCTGAGCTAGGAGTCAAGAGACTTGAAGTTCAAGTCCCAGGTCTGACCCTCCCTGACAAAAAGGTGACCAGTCCAAGCTGCAGGCTCTTCAGCTGTATAATCGGGATAGGGCCCTCCAGCCCGCTGCACAGAAAGGTGGGAAGATCAGCGGGGCATCCCTGTGCACGGTGGGAACTGTGCCTGGCGACACTGAAGTCAGGAGTTGTGGTTACCTAGCCCACAGGACACTTCCTCAGCTTCTTGGGAAGAAACCCAGCCCATGCTGGCACCGCTGAGAGGTATGAGGGTGTGTGTACACGGGCTCCCAGGCATTTGCCTCTGCATTCAGGTGTGTCAGTGTGCTGATTCACGGGTGCGCATGCCATGTGGGTGTGCATGTCGTGGGGATGTGCATGCCATGGGGGTGTGCACACTGTGGGGGTGTGCACGCCATGGGGGTGTGCATGCATTTGGGCCAGGCCTGGGAGGAGCTTGGCCACCACCCTTTCTTTGAAAGAAAGGGCCTGCCTTTCTTTGCAGACACACACAGCTCTCTGCTCTGCCCAGGGAAAATTCCACTGTGATCCCAGTAGTCACTGCCGGTCTCTCTGTCTTCCTTAAATAGGAAACCTGGCAGAGAAGCAGCATCCTCAGCAGACCCAGATCATCACTTCCTACGACAACCAAGGTAAGGGATTTGACACTGCCCGTGACCTCTCCTCCGGCTGCTGTGAGCCAGAGACGGCCAGTACAGAGTGCCAACTGCAGGGAGCAGGGTCCTCTCTGCCGGTGGATGTTGGAGCCCCCTTTCCCTCTCCCCCATCCCATGGGAAGCAGTGAGAGGCCGCATAGTGTTGTGGGATCGAGGAATAAAGTCCTTGGGCCGCAGATCCCACTGGAGTAATCATCACACCCTTGTTGTCATCACTATGGCTGACATTTATTGAGTGCTAACCATGTGCCAGGCACCCTGCCAGGCCATTCACATGATTATTCTCGTGTAAATTGAACTTCACAACAATCCTATCATTGGTACTCTTACTATTCTCATTTTACACCTGAGTAAACTGAGGCTTGGAAAGGTTGTCCTGTGTCCAAGATCACATGGCCAGCAGGAGGCAGAGCTGGGGCAGTCTGACCTCCCCAACCACCAGCAAGGCCTCAGCTGTTAACTTTCACACAGCTCTGCTTCCACAGCCCCCAGAACCCGGCCTCCTCCTGCCGGCTCATGGTGTCCAAGCCTTCCCTTCTTCTGAGTCATGGTGGTTCCCTCGCCTCTGCTCCCACCACTCAGCCTTCCAGGGCCTTCCACCCAGGGAGGGGTTTAACTCAGCAGTGGGGAGTGAGAGGGCCCTTCCTGGGAATCCTCACTTTGCCGGGACAGGTTCTGGGGGCTCTGGGAGGGCAGGTGAGGGCCTCACCGTGGTGACTGTGCAGTTGATCAGATCTGAGAATACGGTGGGGTAGAGACAGGAGGGCTTCACAGCTACAGCTGGAGGTGAGGCCAGGTTAGAGACCCCCACCCCCCACTCCGCACTCCCCTCGCCCCTGCTGTGGTTTCTTGCTCTGCACTAAAGACTCAAAGCCTGGTGTCTGCAAGTTCTCAGAGGCTTGGCCCTAAGTTTCCCCACGGTTGCTCTCAGCGCTGATGTCCTAAGCTGTACAGAAATTGTCTAATCACGTCCAGGGAGCAGTGGTGGCTCCTGGAAATAGAACATCTCTGGAGGCCCTGGAACATTCGGGGCCTCTCGGGGAACTGCTGTCTGAAAGACGGGCTAAGCCAGCATCCCGCGGAGAGGCACTAGCAGGTGGTGAGGCAGGGCATCACTCCAGTCTCTGCTTGCATTCTCACATTGTCTTCTCCCCATATAAGTAGTCAGATCTCCCTCTGCCTTTCTTTTATAAGCATCCTTGTGATTACATTGGACCCACCCAGATAATCCAGGATGATCTTCCTATCTGGAGATTCTTAATCACTTCTGCAAAGTCCCCTTTGCTATATAAGGTGACAGTCACCGGTTCCTGGGGTTAGGACATGGATATCTTTAAGGGCCGTTGTTCAGCCTACCATGGGGGACAATTTAAAATAGAGTAGTTGAGAAAGGCTCCCCGAGAAGGTGACATCTGAGTAAAGGAGGAGATGAGGGAGCAAGCCAGGTGGACATCTAGGGAAGAGCTTCCAGCAGAGGGAGCACCGGGGAGAGGGCCCCAGGCAGGAGCATTGCTGGCCTGTTCAGGGAGGAGGGAGCCACTGTGGCTGGAGGGGCGTGGGTGAGGTGGGGGTAGTAGAGATGAGTCAGAGAGGACACAGGGCAGGTCTTGCAGGGCCTGTATGCTGGCTTCTGTTCTGAGTGTGATTGGAAAACGTTATGGTTTTAGACATGGTTTTAGATGTGACAGCCTCCAGTTGGTGGAGAGTAAACAGAAGAAGGCGAGGTTGGAAGCAAGAAGACCACTTAGGAGGCATCATGATAATGCAGGCAAGAGAGGTTTTCCCATGGCGCAGCTCTAGGGCATAAGGGAAAGAGAGGAGTTAAGGTTTGGGACCTGAGGATGGAGACGGGGAGATGCAGGAGGAGCAGTTTGGAGAAGGAATGTGAAGAATTCAGATTTGGCTCTGTTGAGGCTGGGGCCAGTGCCGAGCGACCACATGCCTACTACTTTAGACAATAGTGACCAGGGACATTGTTATTCCATGTGCCATTTTCCTTCTCATCCAATGAGCCTTGAAATTCATGAGCTCGGTTCTAAGGACCACACAAGTCCCCAAGAAGCTTTCTTGGAAATTCTTTATATCACAGTAATAACGGTGCCACAGGGGGGACACTTGGTGTGGGCCAGTCATTGACCTAAGCCCCTTTTGTGGTTCACTTCATTTAATCCCCACAACCACCTGTGTGGTTGGTTATCCCCATTTTACAGACGGGGAAATGGGGGCCCAGAGAGGTTTTAGTAACTTGCCTGAAGTTACACAACTAGCATGTGCCAGGTCTGGAAGTTAAACCAATGTGTGTGCACTTCCAGAGCCAGTGCTTAGCTACTCCATCATACCACCTCCTTCCACACGGGGCAGGGACCAATCTAGGGGGGCCAAATAGGGTGGAATACCTTCCATACCTCCCCCAACAAGAAATCCAAGATTTCAGTCAGAACTTGTCAGCCAGAATGGTTTTGCTTTTTCCCCTCCTCCTCACCTCATCATCAATGGTAGACTTCATGCACGTGTTGCCAAAAAGATGATTGGAGTCTTGGACCTCATGGGGAAGGGGGCTTCAGGAGATTAATCTGTATGGGTGTGTGGGCTGAAAGAGAGCAGAGTGGTCACTGGACCCCCGTGACTTCACCCAGAAAGTCATTCGTGAGGAGCCAGTTTCCTTTTGAGGCTTCATCCTGCCGGGTCATCCTCCGCTCTTATCCTCATGGAGACACTCTGCCCTCTTTGATCGTGCATGCGCTAGAGTAAACTGTCATGTTTCCAGACCTGGGACATCCCTGAGGAGCTCCATTCTGCAGAAGGAATCGTGAGTGGCCCTGCGTTTTTGAGAGCCCAGGGGAAGCGGAGGTCATTCAGGGCTGCAAGAGACGCCCTCCGTCACACACCCCGCCTGGTGCCCCAGTGGTCTCAGCCCTGAGCCCTGGCACGCTCAGTTGTCATCTCATCACTAGAGCTGCTGAGCGGGGCTTTCACTGTGGCCGGCAGTACCTGATGAGGGTTCTTCAGAGCTGGGCTGTCGCTGTCACCATCCAGCTTGCTGTTTCTGGGATGTCAGAGCTCACCACTTCCTGCGCTAAAGCTAACTACTACACCCTGGGCAGAAACCACAGCACATCTCTGTTGAACACCTATCCAGGGGCTATTTAAGGGGGTTTTTGAAATTACAAACGCTTCAGCTGAAGTTTCCTGATGCTCAGCTACTGCAGGAAAACATTCCAGGGCAAAGAATTCAGGGTGTAAATGTGGCAGCCAGTTCTAGAAAGAATTAATGAGCACCTTAAATCAATGATGGCAAATATCTGACATGAATCCCACAGCCCCTATACACACATAGACACTCACGTGTGTGTGCACACTCGCATTCGTGCACACACACATCCCTGACAGTCTTTGCTAATTGATCAGCACTCCAGGCAGCCACTTCCAATCAGTCAGGGTTAATGAACAACATGAAATCTGTTTGCCATCTTTGCATTAGGTATTCTGAGCAAATTAGGCCTTTACACAAATCCTGATTCAAACCTGAAGAGAGCTGGAGAGAAGCTGTTGGCGGGAGAACTCTCCTGACTGGGTAATAGGCAGGCCTGAGGCAGTACGCACAGGAGCTGCTTCTCCATTTCTGAGAGGCAGGGAAAGGGAAGCAGAGCCCATGGCGTGTGGGAAAAGGGCCTGGGAGCCACTCCTTAGGGGAGGCAGAAAACAGTCACGAATACACTTTTACTAAAACAGCCGAAAATGCAGCTTCAGAAATGATATTTGGGTGACAACTGATAGAACTGGGAAGGGGTGCCATGAGAGAGCCACCAGGTGGCCGAAAGTCCCAGGAAGGGCCTCCTTTGGGTTTGGCTGTGACTGTTAAGATTAGTCTAATGGTGTCCGACTGCACTTAGGATTTAGGTCTTAACTTTAAATTTTGCTCCAAATGATGTTCCACTCTTTGTCATTGGAGATTGGTCAAATTAAATCTTTTCTTTCAGAGTTTTATTCGATACAGGGCTGTCACGGTTGGCAAACTCTTACCACTCCATGCCTTTCGGAAGCATGGGGCTGTACTGTGATTGCTGTTTGCCTGGAGACCGCGCACCCAGGCCCGGTTCCTGGAGCAGAGAAGCCTCCCCGAAGTGCCCTTACACCCCTGTAAAGGATGGGGAATCACAGTCCCACCCAGACTGGGGAGTGGGGAGCTTTGCCGTTTTCCCCGAGGGAGTGCCGACCGGCAGCACTGCTTGGAGAGAGAGCCAGGAAGTCGGACTCAGGCGAATGTGGAGCATTGGCCCCTGTTGGAGAGGGGAGAGAGAAGAGGAAGTGCGGAAGGAGAGAAGGGATTAGAAATGGTGATGGGTGGAGCTTCCCGGCCAGGGCTCTGTCTGAGTGTGAGACTGCCTCAATGCCCACCCTTCAAAGGCGTTTGCCAGTATCTCCGTTTTCAGCTCGCTCATTTTTTGACAAAAAGATATGGCTGAATTGGGAGTGGTTGGAAATACTTGGATGTTATGAGGAGTTTGGGGAAGAGGTTTGCTGTTGAGCCCTAAACCAACAAGTTGTTCAGTTTTGCAGCTTCTAGAAGCTTATGGAGATTGTCCCAGTCCAGCATTTTCCAAATTGTGTTTCACGCAGTAGTACTGGGTCAAATAGACTTCTTTGCTGCAGGACTTCTCAGAGCGTGTATTGCAACCCACAAAAGGGGAGAGAATGGGCTTGTTTCTCAAATCCTTTTTTCACAAGGCATCTTGCAGCCAAGTACCGCTTGGCACCAGCTTTGAAGAACACCTCAGAATGTATCAGGGGGAGAAAGTGAAAAGGCAAAGGAGAACAGGCCCACGCCTCATGCATCATGGGAAGACACACAGGAAAGAGTTGCTGTTGGCAATGGCACTCAATCCTGTGACCAGAACTGAATTACACTTTGAATTCTGAAATGCTTGAAGTCTTAATTGTAAAGTCACAGGCTGATTTTCTTTGACAGTTAATGT